CCCGTGGCCCGCAACCTCGGCCACTGCTCGGATCGGTTTCTGCTCGGGTGCCTGTCTTTCTTGGAGGCTCTAGGTGGAGTCCCGGGAGCTGAGGGGGACCGGCGGCTGCCGCCGAAGCATGAAGAAGGGGTAAAGCAAGAGCCCCCCAAGGTTTCACGGTGAGCACGAGTCTCTCAGGAACTGTTTTTTGGGGGGAGGGGGTTCTGGGGAGGAACTCTCCCTCACTGGCCAGAACGGAGAATGTGGTGTGTGTGGAGCTCTAGTCCCGCAAAGGTTACGGGGATGGGCGCGCCTCCCCCGCGACAGCCCCCACCCCCATTCGCCGGTTCCCGAGCTCCCGCCGCCCACCCGCCAGCCCGGCTGGGAGCCGAAGGAGAGGGCAGCCGGCGGGAGCGCTGGGGTCTGGGTTGCAGGGAGCGCCCCAAGGCTTCTCTAGGTGGGGAGAGACTGCCGGTCTCACCTGAGATGCCACCGCCTGAGCGCCCCTGCCCTGCACCCACTATCTGCCCTCGTGCGTCCTGGCTCTCGGAGAGGCTGCAGCACGGGTGGCGGAGAAGCCCTTGCACTACGTGCCGGGGGCTCTGTAAAGCAAGCTTAGGCGTTTGCGTGTTTGCGCCGCGCGTCTATGTCTAGAGACATCACTGTAAAGCGAGTGCGGGGATCCCTTTCTTCGCTTGAAGAGGAGGCGAAGCGGGGCGGTTGCCTCTGATGCCTGTTAATGGGGGATGCCTCCGGCAGAGTTAGGGAGCCGCTCACTCAGCTCCGATGTCGGCAGGACTCGCCCATTGTGCCACTCAGATAATTATTCAACTATGCAGCATCCATTGCACCTTTCCCATTTTTCTTTTCCCCTTGCTACAGCATGCCCCCTAGCTTCGGTACTCTGAAGCCTTTTGCACTTGCGGATGATGAACTGGAATAATGATGAAAAAAAAGCACATCTGACCTGAACGTTCACAACCTGTCCTATAGCCGATTAATTAACTAATCCCTGGCTAGACTAGGTACTTTAATACGACTTGGTCTAATCCTATCCATTTCTGTACAAGGCGTGCCTTGGATTATATTTTAATTTTTTCTTTGATCTTAGATTCACGTATTAGCTAAGTCTTATTTCTGTCCAGTAATTGATGTAATTGATTTATTGGTTATTCAACCCGTCTGATGTTCTTAAATTTAAGTTGTATGGTAGGTAACTTTCATTTTTCTAATTGTCAATAGATAGCACTATATCAAATATAAATGCAGTTTCAGTCTTTGAACTCTCAAGAACAGTTATTCTCATGCTATAAGTTTCTGTTAGGAAAAGTATTTTTATTTATGTCAATATTTAAATAAAGTACATGATATAAAATTTCTTAAGTTTTGAATAAGAAAAGTTTTGTATTTTTCAGTAACAGTATTTGATTGCGAATCATAGCCTTCTGTTGAATGAAAGGAAGCATTTAATATTTAAGATGAGGTTTTACCTACCGTAAAATTTAGACAAGTTTACCTAACTTGTCTAAATTTTATTTTTTATTCATTTCTTTTCTTTGCAATATCATGTATTTGTTACAGATTTTTTTCTTATTTTTCTAACTTTTGTCTTCAAGGATGTGTAAGCTCCAATTTTGCATGATTTACTGAAATATGAAATATTTTTTGAATACAGAAGAAACAACTGTTGGTTACTTGATTTTATGTTAAAAACTTTACATCTCGTTATTTTAAAATAAATGATTTATTACCAAGAATAAGTGTTTTCTTTTTGTTTTTGTAATCTTTTCCTCTTCAGCATTTCTTGTTTAAGCTTGTTGCCATACCCTCTTGATAAAACAGAATTGCACATAGTCATTGCAGAGGCAGTTGTTTTAAGGTACAGTAATTGTTTTATGGCACTTGGAAGTGGCGCACATATAATATAATTTGATGATGTAGGATCAGTTGCTTGGTTAGGAAATGACCTTGCAATTTACAAAATGGATACCTTTGTGCCTTGGTTTCCTTACATGTAAATGGAGATAAAATGCCCATTGATTCCACTTTGTAGTATGTGTAAATTCAGTAAAGATGTTTTCATAATGCTTTTAAAGAAAATTTAAATTTTTTAGCTAATGAATGATGACAGATATTTCAGTGTAAAATACAATGAAAAAATGTCATTGGGATTTTCTGTGGCATGTTAGAATGGCTGATTTACATTGACTTTTGCTTTGGAAAGGTATGGCTCTCAGTTGAATATTTCTCATCCATCATGAATTTTTAATAATTACAAATTTAATAGGTATTATACTTAATATCTATATGTACTCATAAATATAGGTATAGTTAATATTGATGAAAAAATTATATGACTTGGTAATAAGCAAGTAAAATTATTGAATTAAATTTTTGAAAAATAAAATCTCCAGAAAACATTAAGGCCTTTTTCATTGAAAAACTTGCAGTTGACACAACCCAAAATACATAGTTGTGATCATTTGTAAGGTATGATATGGAGCTATGTTATTAATCAGGTTTGTAAATAACCATATATTCAGAGATGGTATATGAATATTATATAATACTGTATTTAATTATACATTTTGCTTTTTTTCAGACTAGGTATCATTTCCAAGTACTTGATTTTCATTATCACAGTAGATAGTAGTTTTTGATTTCCTTATTGAAGGATTAACTCAGTTAATTTTCATAGCAAAAACTACTATTAAAATGTTGTTAGAACTTTTACTGAAACAGTGCTTTCGGTTAATTTGTGGGGACACTTCATATAGATGATAAGACTATTCAGTGTCCTTAAAATTACTATTTGTATAGTTTCTTTTTTGAGAATTTGATTATATTTTAAATGTTTTCTTAAACAATCAACTAAAATTCAGCAGTCATTACTTGGGTAAATACACTTACCTCAAGATTTTTCTAAGCTCCTTGATGACAGCAACTGACTTAATGCTTATTGTCATAAATCCAAAGTTGATAGCAGAGTGTTTAACAAATAGCAAGGGCTCAGTTTTGTTGTTGTTGTTGGACACATAAAATGAATGAGTTGTTGTTGGACACATAAAATGAATGAGTGAAGAATACCCATTTGTACTGAGTAGAAATTTAAAAACAGATTTATCAAACATAACTTTTAATCCATGAAACATATAACTTTATCTCAAAGAGGAAAAAAAAATTCTATTTGGAGGTTCTTTGCACTTTATTTACCTGTTCAGATATAATTCCTGTACCCACATGTTAGTTCAAAAAAACATGTGGATACAGGAATTATATCTGAACAGGTAAATAAAGTGCTAGCTATTATATAATATATAGATTGTAAACCTTTCATTTATGAAATGATAATTTTCTTTTTACCTGTTAAGCCTCCTTGCATGAAAATGTACATTGAAGGTTTAGATTTTTCCTAAATTAGATGAGTATAGAAATAATGTTTGATTCTTTTTGACTTACTTCGGTTTTCCAGTAAAATATTAATAAAAAGATGTATATAAATTGTATCTTGTGCCAAACGTGCCCAAATGCCTAATTTTAAATGACCCCTGAGGTGTGGAGCTTTTTATAAAATGAAACTTTTTCTGAAATGTGTTTTTAGTGATCACATTTAGTTTATAATTTTGAGTCTTTGTGTATTGTTAGCTCCTAACTTGGAATGGGATTTTTTTATACTTTAAAACTTGTAAAATGGTTTAGAACTTGGAACTTACTTTCTCAGAAACAATATGCTTAGTGGTTAGATTTGCAGGTAGCCTACCAAATTTAACCAATAATATACTTGAATTAAAGGCTTTGGCTAACTAATAATACTAGAAAAATTTAAAATTATATTAAAATTGGTATGTGTTATATTGAAAATATCTATAATACTGTGTACAGTAATACCTCTATGAGAAAATCGACTGATTCATAATCTACCTTGAAATGCTAGGAATACATTTCTTTTGTGTTAGACATGACATTATTAGGAACTTGCCCTCTGATACCCACCCATTGGACCTGGAGAGGAAGAGGATCTTAGTGTGTATGGCAGTCTTACAACATCTGGGGCACAGGTCAGAGAATGAGAGAAATCTGAAGGAGCTAGGATCTTCTATGTGATGTATGTAAATCATATAAGTCATTTTATCTCACAAGCAAGGGTTCGGTTTTCTCAGAACGTTGAAGTAGATGGCCTCTGTGATTCCTTTCACTGACATAAAATTCAGAGGCACTTAGAAGCACAGTATAACCCTTTTTTTCTGAGAGTTCATTTTCCCTTTCTAGTATTACTCTTTATATATTTCCTATCAGGGAATTTCTCCTTTCTGGATCTACCTCTGAAAAGATTATTGTCTTAATCTTCTCACATACCTATTCTTAGAAGCTAGACTTCTTAGGTTTTTAAAGGAGTGTTTTTATTAGGGTGGTTTTATTTATTTTTTTAAATTTTATTTTTATTTTTATTTTTTAACTCCCAGCACCACCAAGAAACAATTAAGATGATTTCGTTTTCCTATTTTGAATTACCAATAGCCTATAAGTAAAGTCAAGGTATATTTTATTTGGAGAAAGTTCAAATACAGTGAATTCTCCAGAGAATTATTTTTATAAGGAAAAATATTGGAACTGTGGTTGTGTAGCAGAGGTCTCCAACCTCTGGCCACAGATTGGTACCAGTCCGTGGCCTGTTAGGAACTGGGCCACACAGCAGGAGGTGAGCAAGCGAAGCTTCATCTATTTGCAGCCACTCCCTAGCGCTAGCATCACTGCCTCAGCTCTACCTCAGGTCATCAGGCATTAGATTCTCATAGGATCACTGATCCCTAGTTCCAAAAAGGTTGGGAACTGCTGGATTGTAGTGGGTGTATGAAGGTGGAGAGATGTAATGTGGCCTTGGGGTACAATTGTCAGATAATACATGGAGTATCTTGAGTTTTTATTTGCTAAGTCTGGCAGCCTTGCTTTCGAGTGCTGTAGAACTTTGGGCATGGTAGGAGTTTGGGTGTCTTAGGGTTGGAGGCAAAGTGAATATTTTTGGAATTGAATGGTTGAAAAGAACAGTGGAATAGAATACAGTAATCAAAATTTGAATTGTTCTAGGAATTTGGGATGTAGATTGCTTTAAAATAACACTCTAACAAAAATATGCTGTACACTGCCCCCTGGAGAAACAGAATGGCTTCCCATGTGACTG